CTTCAATCTCCATGATCCTGAAACCAGAAGAACTAGATGGTGCCCCTCTACCACAGCTGAGCATTCTAAAAGGGATTGCACTAGAAGGTGCTAGACAGCATAGGTAAAAATGTGGGATGAAACTGGAAAACAAAAATGGTCAGGTTTCCAGGCCACCAGAGCTCCCTGGTCGGATAGAGACCTGTGGAATCCTCAACTCTGGCCCAGTCACTATTCAAACCTGAAACAAACCTCCCCCTGGCTCAGCTTTCAATCAAACAATGGATAGGCCTTTAGAGTGAACAATAATATCAGGGAAGCAACCTTTAAACTCTTTAAAATAATCAAGTACAAAAGATCAAAAGGGCAGCACTTCTCAGCCATAAATTCAGAAGGCAAAAAGCAGGTTGGCTAGACATAAGAATCACAGAGATTATGTGGAAAGAATGCAGTTACCTCGTGGGCTTTATAATTCATATCATAAAAAAACGCATAGATGGAGAAAAAAATCAAAGCTGTCAACAATTTTATTTTACTTGGATCTACAATCAACACTCTTGGTACTAGAAGTCAAAAAATCAAAAGATGTATCACATTGGGAAAATCTGTTGTCAGGGACCTTTCCAGAATACTAGAGTAATGATGTCAGTTGGAAGACTGAGGGTGCACCTGATCCAAGTCATGATCTTCTCAACTGCTTGCTATGTATCTGAAAGCTGGACAGTGACTAAGGACGACAGAAGAACTGATGAATTTGAGTCGTGGTGCTGGAGAAGAGTACTGAACATCCTGTGGACTGCCAAGAGAGTAAGTCTAACATGGAGAAAGTGAAACCAGGGTGCTCCTTGGCTGCACGAATGAAATTCCATCTCGTATACTTTGGCTACGTGTTAGATGGGGCCAGTCCTTGGAGAACAAAATCGTGCTTTAAAGGTGAAGGATCCACGTAAGAGAGGAAGCCCCACAACAAGCTGGACTGATACAACGACTCCAACAATGGGCTCCAGTGTGTCAGAGATGGTGAGGGTGGCACAAGACAGGGCCAAGTTCAGATCTTCTGTTCATAGGGCCACTATGAGTCACAGCTGGCTTGACGACACTTAATAAGCATATGAATGATTGAACGGAAAATCAACTTGCTTTGTAAACTTTGGAGGATGGAGGAAGGTAAGTTGGGGGCCTGAGGCCTGAAAACTCCCCAAAGAGTTGTCTCTACATCAGCTCCTACCCCAACTGCCAACCTTGGCACACCCTCTTCCTCCATCAGCTCTGCCAGCAGCCACTTGAATTACCAAGCCTACCACCCACAGGCACTCTCCTGTCCACTCTGTCTTCCAAGACATAGAAATCTCAGCTAATCATTCACTGAAGCGGGTCAGACCAGAGACGGGACCAGACAGCTGTCAAGATGAGAGTGAGAACAGACATTTGGGACCCACACACTAACAGAGTACCTCAGTCATCTTCATACAACTGAGTCAACTATTCTTATGATCCTATTTCCCAGATGAGGAAACTGAGGCACAAGAAGTTCTAAGAATTTGCCCATGGTCACAGGAAGTAGGAGGTGAACAGGAGGCTTTTAAGTGAGGTCATTTGGTTCCGGAGTCTGTGGAACCATCGACCTTTCCCTCCGCGATGACTATGTGTCCACTCATCAACCCAATAACTCAACTCTGAGCCTCTCAGTTCAGTCAATATTGTGCTTACAGGTCCCTGCTTCTCTGCTTCATTCTCAAAGCTATGGACTCTACGGAAGGTGACACGTCTTCATCGTGATAGAGCTGATTAGAATCCACAAGCTGGAATATGAGAAAAGAACTGGGCTCTGGAGAGGCAGATGAGCTGCAGTTTGGTTCTGGCCAGGACCAGTCGTTGAACCCGACAAGCTTTTTCTGACGCTTGCCATTGAGTTAGAATCAACTCACAGCTGATTCTTCAGCAGGTTTCTGGAGGCTGTAAATCTCACAGGAAGAGGCTGTCTATAGTTTTTCTACAGAGCGACTGGTAGATTCGAACCACCTGAGAGGTGCAATCTTTGGGTTAGCAGCACAACTCCCTATGGTCTAGGCCACCAGAGCTCAAAATATAGTTATGTTGGTGCGAGGGAACCGTCTGGGCAAGCCACCTGGGCCCTTAAAGCCACTCCTTTTTGACTTGATGTGTTGTCATCACACTTTCTCCCTCTCAGTTGCCCTCAACCCACTACCCAACGGGCCATCGGTCCTAAGGGCTCTGTGACTGTGCTGAATGAATGATGGCCAAGGCGGCACAGCACCTCAGCCACATAGCACAGACCCTGTTTGTGTGGCTCATTGCTTTAGTAGCAGCACACAGTAGACTCTCAGTACATGTCTGCTGACAAAGCAGAGTGGATGGCCCCAAGAGATGGTTCTGGAAGCAGAAGCCATGCTGAAAGAGGACAAGTCAGCCCAGGACTTGGGGACGACCAGTCCTACAATCCCACTAGCTCAACTCGGGCCCAGAGGGATTCCGTGAATGGTGAAGTCTTTCTCCCCAGCCACATGCATCAGTGCAGATACACAACATTCTCATCCGGTCTCAGCAAAGTCATCAGTTCCACCCAGGAAGCCCTACTTTAGGCCCTCCTGGCTATGTCACAGATCAGGTCTCAAACACAAGCAGATCTGGCCCTCCCAGCCTACTGTCCTTCCTGGGGGCCACTTCTCCTCAACCCCAGGCTCAAGGCCAAGTGTCTAAGCAAAGAGCATGATTTTCCCCATGGCATGTTATTCAAGTCCCAGTGGGAGAGGCCGCATCCATTCCAGTGTATTTTGAGGACTTCACACCCTTAACTTTTTTTTTTTAAGTTTATTCTTGTGTGTGTGTGTGTGTGTGTGTGTGTGTGTGTGTACCATCAAACCGGATCAGACTGGTACAGGAGGAGATTGCCCGTCCTTCTCCAGCAGAGCATCTGGTGGATTTGAACCACGTACTTCTGGGATTCAGTGCAGCTTCTTGCCACTAGGCCACCAGAGCGCACACCCTTAACTTTCATACACAGAAGTAGGCTGGGGTCCTGTCCACAGAGCCCTGAGTCCACAGGACCCTGCCCCATATGGTAACAGAAGGACTCACCTGCTGCACCCAGTCACAAGTTGCCACCCCTCAAGCTCCTTTACAAAATGAAGGGAGAAGTCGCTGGCAGGGCCTTCTCCTGCCTCAGCACATCTGCTGGCAGGCTGAGGTGGCTGCCAGCCAGGCTGGGGCTGCGGGCTTGGGGCTGAGGCCCTGCAGGGCTCGGTGGGTAAGCAGGGCCAGTGTGAGCCAGGGAAGTTGCTCAGGGAGCATCTGCTGCCAGAGTCAGAGGTCAGTCTGACAGGGAGCGCCCGGGTCCACCTCAGGACAGGCCAGCAGACAGTTCAAAACTGCTGTTCATCCCTGTCCTATGAGCTGGGTGACTTGAGCTCTCAACAAAGCATAAGTCTCCAGAGGAGCTTCCCTCTCTCTGCCTGATCCATGGGGACATTTACTAGAGAGTGTCTCAATCTGCCTCGATTTCCCTACCCAGAAACAGGCAAGATAGCTCCACCCATCTCTTCAGGTCTTTAAGGGACTGAATGATAAATAAAGTGCAGGTACAAGTGTCTGGCACTCATCTAGGCTCACTATACAGAGGTTATTAATGCCAATGTTTACACCGTTAAAAGTCAGAATATCTCTAGGCACTGCCAAGCCCCGACCACCTAAAACCTCCCTTTGTCTTCCAAGGGGAAGGGCCATCATATACTGAGAAGCCCTCAGGGGCTGAGGCTGATGTTCCTGCAGCTCTGCCTAAGGGCAGTGTGCTAACTGGATCCCAGAGGTCACTGGCCTTCCTCCTCCCCAGGAGTTCGTCTGCCCTTCCCGGCCTGCCCTGCGCTCCTCTGGCACAGTCTGTAGTCTCAGTCCCTGACTGTGCACGGCCTTCTCTCTGCTAGTCATTCTTTGAGACCTCTCTGTGACCTAAACGTTGCTGTTCCAGCTCTCCTCTTGGGCCTCTGAGCTTCTCACTCCATGCACCCTCCCTGGATGGCCATGTTCACACCTTGTCCTCTACCTAAGCTCCAGGAACTCCACGATGAGCTTGGGGGCTGGATTTCCCCTCAGTGGTCAGAACACCCACCTACTGAGGGCTCATGATCTCACCTATAAGTCAACTGGAGTATTCTTAGGGAGGGAGCACAGAGGCTCTCACCATCTCTAACCTGGCCACGCTCAAGTCTCTACCTTTCAGAATGTCCACAAATGGCCCCCTGCTGCATGGTCTACAGATTCAAAAGGCCCCCTGCTGCATGTGAGCCAGGGAAGCTCCCAAATGCAACTTCACCTGGTCTCTCCGGGGCCCCTACTCCGTCACCTGGGTTAATGTCACACCTGGGTTAATGTCACACCTGGGTTAATGTCACACCTGGGTTAATGTCAGGGAATCATTGCCCCTCACCTGAAACTCTCACCCATCATAGCATCTTCTCTACTCCACCTCCATACAGTGACTGCACCCACTTCTTTCCCACCACAACCTCTCAGCTCACCCACATTACTCTCATCTTTTGTTTGCATCATCCCTGTCTTGGCCCTGTTCCCTACACCAGTCCATCCATCACATGGCATCTGGGATCTTTCTAAAAAGGCTATCTTTTTGTATCCCTCCCCAATCCAAAAGTTGACACACTTCCCTGGGTACAACCCAGAAAAGCGTATGTTCTTAATATGACATTCAAGGCCGTATCCAACTGAGCAGCAAGTTCTTTTCTTGTTAGTTTCCTTTGAGGACCCTCAGTTCTAACTGCTCTTCTCCTCACCAGTCCCTACCAACCGGAAGCTAAACTCCTTATTCCTCACCATGTATCCAGTCCTGCATGGACGTGGCACCCAGAAACCTCTCAAGAAGTGCCTGGCATGGGTGGGAAGCCTGCAAACCAGCCCTAATCCCTCCGCCAAAAGGCGCCAGGCAATTGCCTATAAATGGTGCCCAGCCCCACCTACTCCATGGCCCAGACCCCACAGCAGATACTCACTTTGGCTCCAGGGGGGCCTGGGAGGCCTGGATTTCCATAAGGCCCTGGAGGACCCTGAAAGAAACAGGAAGAACAAGCAGATGAGACAAGAGGGGACATCCCACTCGCTGCAGCAATGCCAGCATGCCCCACTTTCCTTCTGCTGGTTGGTTCCACATCTTCTCTTAGGCCAGGCCTTCATGAGGTCATCGTGGCAGCCTTACCTTAGGGGGGCCCCTCAGTGCCAGGCCCTGTGCTAAGCACTTTCCATGCATTATCTCATTTCCTCCTGGCCCTCAGCCTATGAAGTAGATGTTACCCCTATGAAGATGAGGGAGTTGATAATGGCAGAGGTCTTCTAACATCTCAGCATACCGAGCTGCTGAGAAGAAAGGCAGGACCTGAGCCTCAGACGCCTCCAGTCTCAGAGTGGGAATCCTAACCCCTGAGGTTCATTGCCTCTTCACTCCAATCGCTCTGCTCCCACCAGCCCTCTCCAGATTTGTTTCTAAGTTTCAGAAGACTCTTAGTTATATATGATCCTATCCAACACATCTGGCCTTTTCCCTCGTCACCTTTGTCCACGCTATTCCCCTCACCTGGATTTCCCATTCTCCAAGGATGGGCTTAAATGCCACCTCCTCCAGGAACTCCAATTGGACTTTCATGAGTCTTTGGAGTTGAGCGTGTAAGAAAGGGTGCACTTGACCTCTTTAGAACCAAGGCTCATCCCTCCTGCTGCTATAACATGTATAGGAGCTGTCCTTTAGCCTCCGACATGCTCCAAGCTCGCAGAGTCCTCGTGGGACAACAGAGCAGCTGGGAAGAATGGAACTAGAGTCAAGGAATCTTGGCCAAGGGCGAATAGCAGAGCAGTGTCCAAGCGAGGGTGGGGACCTGGGCCTGTTGGCTTGACGTCCAGAGCTTATTCACAGTCCTGAATTTTCCCAGGCCATATGTGAACTCCTCTAGAACGGCAGCTGGCTCTTGTTATATCCACTTTCGCCAATAAGGACCCTAGTTAAGAGACATCCAGCCAGGAATTATAACAGAGCCTTAAGAGATGAGTAAATGCAGGAGGGGAAAAATGGTATATTCTGTTGTATTGGGAGAGGCACCCCAAGGGGTCGGCTTGTCCATTAGCACACCATTCCTGGCTCCTCTCAACTCATCAGGCTAGCTGTTTACAAACGTGCTTCCTTCCGCCTGCTCCAACATCAACTTCCCAGCTGTAGCCCGTCACATTCCAGCACAAGTCCCTCCCTCTTCCTCTATGTCAGAGCAGAACCTCCCTTTCTCTAAATAAGCTGAGAAGGAACAGCGTGTGGAGTGCACCCAGCCCGGGAAATTCATATCAGCATCACATGTGACTCACTCAGAAGCAATCAGATGCCGGGGCCCCTCCCAGCATCCCACCCAATACCGTCTCCTGGAACACAGGTGTAACATGAAGTGCCAAAACCTAGTCCCAGTTCTAATCTTCCTGTTGCCATTTGTCCTAGAACTGACATAGACTCAGCAGTCTCTAAGGAGCCTGAGAAGCTCGAAGGAGCATCCTGAGGGGTGCTCACTTAACACAGGCTCCTGAGGTCTCTAACCCCTAGCTTCCCCAGGACCAGTCTGTGCAAGGGTCAAGGGCAACCCCTCTTTTCTAGCATGCCCCAGCTGCCCCACAGATAGTTAAGGCTGAGCACTACAACTTGGGAAGATGGAGGTTTCCTGCTTCCCTGCCTCCACTCCCCACCCTGCTTTCGCCACTGCCTTGCAGAAAATGATGCACATAGTTGACCAGGTGCCAAACAGACTGAGTCTATAAATGCTGCAGTCCAGAAATTCATCCCTGGAGGGCGCTCAGGGATTCCTTGGTGTCCCTCTGAGGGCTGCGGAAGTATGTGGAAGAGGGAAGGTGCCTGCCACAGAGCTCTAGGTGACCTCAGATAAGGCTCCGCCTCTCCCCAGAGGTGCTGGGATTGTATCGTTCTTAGTGTCCAATAACCTTTTGAATTTTGTGATCTATGGAAGATCTAGTTAAGAAACAGGATGATCAGGAAAGGGGGCGCAGGTAGAGAGCTTGAGAAGAATGTCAGGAGTCTTCACTCGTGGAATCTCAGAGCTGGGAGGGACCATACAAATGCCTTACCATAATCCCCAATTTTATAGATGGGGAAACTGAGGTCCAGAGAGGAGAAGGGGCTTGACCAAGATCATTCAGCTTCTTGATGGCAATGTTCTGTGCCCAGACTAGAAGTTCTTACACTCATTGTCTCAGCACCTATAATATTCTAGGCATAAGCAAAGTCTGCTCTGTGCCTGAGGGAGCCTGGTTGAATGAAGAGGAAAAACCAGCACCCACGATAGCTAAGAGGCCTCTCCAGTGTGAAGTTCGCCTTCAGGGAGTTTCGCTCTTTGGCTGTTGGTATTTATCAGCAGCTCTGAGGAAGAAAGATGGTCTCCCATGCAATTTTTAGCCTAGAAGTCGGTTGTGACTCCACAGCAATGAGTAAGTAAAAGAGATGGTTAAGATTGTAGGTTCTGGAGTCATGTTCAATTCTGTGACTTTAGGTAATTTCTGAGCCTGTAAAATGGGGATAATGAGGAAATGGATTCCAGGAGGGCTGGGAAGGCTGCATGAGATCATGCATGTGTAGCTCAGCAAACAGACCTCAGCGATTCATTGTGGTACAGGGAATAATCTGTGCCGTCCAGAGGCGCAAATCAACTGTTTCAAAGAGCTCCAAGACTGAAGCAACCAACAAAAGAGGTCGTGGCGTTTGATATGAGCCATGCATGGAAGAGGGTTTTGCAAATGAGGGCATGCCAGGTAGACAGGAACACTCAAGAGAAAGTACAGAGGCTGGAGGGCGCAGAAAGAGTCGGAGGCTAGAGGCAGACCACAGCAGGCTGGAGCACCAGGTGTAAGGACCTCATCCTGTCCCAGGCACAGAGTTTCAGGGCCAGCAGTGTTTGATATCTAAGTGATCCAGGCTCTGAACATGTGCTCCCCAGAAGCTCCAAAGCCAGAGGAAATGCCGCACAGACTGCAGACTCCAGAGCCCTGGGCCCAGGGAGTACAGGGCCAGGTCTGGAGGGAACTAGGGCTCGAGTAATTGCATAACCAGAACCATCCACTGGGTCCAGAGCTAAAAATATGCCCGAGGCAGCTATCTCTGCCAGGGCCTCGCCAAGCACCCTGCATGGGAAAGAAAAGCTGATCCAGCCTGGACACCGAAGCTGGCACCACGGGTCTGAGCCCTTTTGGGAAGGGGGCCTATTTCCCCTCCAGCGGGGAACCCTCAGTATCTGGTCAAGAGCTGTGATCTGCATCCTGGCTTTGCCATCTCCTAGACATTGCATTGCCTCATTTCTAAAAGGAGCCTAATCGGGTTGATCCACAGGGTTCCAGCATGTGCCAAACACAACATGTAGGGGTTGTTTTCATGGCCCGTTTTGCCACATTGCCCACTTGGAGGCTCAGCTTAGCTCACATCCACCACTGCAGTCCTGCTGGGCTACCCTCCAGCCTCTGGCTGAGCCTCCCAGCACACGGAGCTCCGCCCTCTCTGATATGGCCAGTCCTATGATCTAAGCATCCTTATCCAGGGATGGCCTTGCAAGGATGAGGAGATGGCTACAATGGTCATTTGCCCACAGGTCAGCTCTTGTCCTGGACAAACACCACAGCTCATCAGTTCAGGTGACATGATCTTCAGGAGCGGTCCACCCACCCAGGCAACGGACAACTGACACTGTGCTGGTGGCCATCACTGTCCCATGCCATGTCTGTCCACTGCACTTTCTAAGTCCATCCCTAGTGGACAAAGTGGAAGCCAGGGGCCAGAGAGGGACAGAGAAGAGCCTGCAGACACACAGCAAGGCTGGGATTTCTCAAGCAGGGCAATGGAGGTCAAGGAACCAACCAGAGTGTCAAAGGGCCGTGTGGGACCACTTACCCGAGGTCCTCGTGCACCGGACGGTCCAGGCAGCCCAGGCAGCCCAGGGGGACCCTGGAGAGAAAGGAGAAGATACCATCAGACAAATGTGGCAGAGAATGGGTTCAAAGAGTCATGCAATAAACCAATCCAGATCTCCGGGCATGGGAAATCCTGCATATGAGAAAGGTGATGGGGGGGTGTCTACTGAAAGGTCCCTCCACTAAGGATCTCACAGATTTTTAGACTTTTGCACTTGCCATTTCTTTCTTTCTTTTTTTTTTGCACTTGTCATTTCTCATTCTTGAAAACCCCATCTTTTCTAACTAAGTTAGGTTGATACTTCAAGGGAGCTTTGGTAGCCTAGTGGCAAGAAGCTGCACTGCAATCCCAAAGGTGCATGGTTCAAATCCACCAGCTGCTCCATAGGAGAAGGATGGGAAGTCTCCTTCCATGTGACTAACTGCCTCCGAAAGCCCGCTGGAGGGTCAGCTATGGGTCGGATCTGACTCGAGAGCACACACAAGAAGTCAGAACATCACTTTCTCCAAGATTCTGTCCATGAGCCCTTCTCTAAGTTGGGCCAAGTCTATTCTTTCTTAATAATTTAAGGCTATTTATATTGCTTGCAGCTAAGAATATGTATCAAGAACGTATTATTTCTCTAAGGGAATTCTGAGGTTTTAGTTGTAAGGAGTTGCACTGCCATTCAAAGGCAGGGAGTTTGAACGCACCAACTGCTCTTCAGAAGAAGGATGGGTAATCTTCTCCTGTGTGCTTTACAGCCTGTGATGACCCGCTGGAGGGTCAGCTCTGGGTCTGTACAGGCTGCGTGACAATAAGCCAGTGAGTGATTATCTATTTACAAGCCCATCTGTCCCTCTTCAAAGGTACCAAGTCAGTTACCTCTCTCTCTCCAGTTCTCAAACATTTAGTAAAATAGGAAGAGATCAGATAAGTTCTCTTCATGGCCACAGCAGAGAAGGAACTTGTTCAAGGCCATGCTGAGCATCTATATACCACAGAAAGACAGTGTAGCAAACTATGTAGCAAACAGTGTAGGCTACATGCAGAGGGTTTGGTGTTGTGTTCCGTTTGCTTGTTTTTAATCAGAGTCCCAGATTCAAATCCCAATGCTGCCACTTAGCAGCTAACACTTGAGCAAATTTCTTACCCAGTCTGTGACTGTAAATGGGAGCAATGGTATCCCTAGGAGCATCATGAAGATGAAACTCTCGGCCTGGTATTAATTAGCATGCAAATGTTCTCTTCTGTTCCACCAGCCTTCGTCACTGAACCCTCAACTCCTCTAATAGACCTCTCACTTGTCTCCTAGCCTTTCTCTCTCCCCTCTGCAAGTCTGGCTCACATATCCCTGTTCACCTTTCCAAGGCTCTCCTCTGCTCAGTAACTTTCAAAGGCTCCCATTTCTCATGAAAGAAAAGCCTAACCCTGCAGTATTCAAAGAGCACATCTGGCCCCAGCTCCTTCCCATCTCTCTGAAGGGAGGCAGTCAAACAGACTTGCTGAACTGTGGGCTGGCTTGTGTCCAGATCCTGGTTTTGCCACGTAATCGCTTGGAACTTTATGCAAGTCCTCAGCCTGCCTCCGCTGCTCCTCTTTAAAATGGGCCCAAAGGCAACTTTCCCATCCACCTCAAAGGAGTGAATAAAGAGTAACAAGTGCCTGGATGGGAAGTGCTCAACTCGGAGCTTTCGGAGAAGCCAGGCTTTCGAGGATGTGTGAGGCCTGGGGAATTCATTTGTTTCAAATAACCATCAATGAGATTCCAGGTTTCCTGCCCAGAGTTAAAATCGGTGTTGAAAACCCAGTACGGTTTGGCTGGTAATTAATCCGGATCTCACGCTGGGCAGCCTCCGCTCACAGTTCTGGCCTATGAACGCCACGTGCTTGCTCGTCCATGAACAGAAATAGGAGAGATCCAGACAGGCAGATACGGGCACCAAGGCCCTCGGGCCAGTGGGAAAGAGCCCGGGCCAGAGGGAGGGGAGCATTTCCTGGCCTCGGGCAATTGCTGGCCACCAGTCAAACTGGTGGCAGGCTCCCCAACTCAGGTGGCCAGTCTTGAGTCCCTGTCAGCCCCACAGGTCTGCAGCTCAACCAGGGGCCCCCAGCTGACTCAGTGGCTGGCTTCTGCAGGGGAACAGCAGGGCACAGGCAAAGATGGGATCTGGAGTGCACACCCCACGCATTAGCTCTGGGCAAGCGTGCTTAGTCTCTGAGCGTCTAGCCCTTTAACCGTAAAATGAGAACAGTGCATGGCCGTTGCTGCTGTTAGGTGCTGCCAAGCTGACTAGGACTCACAGCAACCCCGTGGGCAACAAAGCTGAGCCTTCCCTACCCGGCACCATCCTCATGACGTCCAATATGCCCGAGGCCCGAGCCCATTGTTACCACCATGCTAACCCATCTTGTTGCACGTCTTCCTCTCTCTCTCTGATGTGCCACCTTTCCCAGCATGATGTCTTTTCCAAGGTCTGGTCCTTCCTGCTGACCACATGCCCAGAGTGTGTAAGACAAAGTTTCACCATCTTGCCTCTAAGGAGCTGGATGCACCTCCTCTAAGACAAACTTGTCCATTCTTTTAGTCGTCAGTACTCTAACACCAAAATGCAAAGGCCAACAGATAGCTACAAAGTGCATGGTGTGCAGGTAATGATCAATGGTTAATAGGTGCTTCAGATAAAGGAGTTTCAGGAACTTTACTTATTCAAAATGTTAAGGTACCTTCTTTCCTGTCTGTTCTTGGTGGAGAATCAAAGATACCCCTTCCCAGCAGTGGGATTTCAGTGGTAGAATTCTCTCCTTCCATATGAGAGACCCAGGTTCGGTTCCCAGCCAGTGCTCCTTGTGCGAGCTGTCTGCGTAGCCTTGCACACTACTTGGAGGCTGGGCTGGTTTCAGTCCCTCTTTCTGCCCAAGGCAGTAGGCAGAAAAGCCTGGTAACCAGAATTCACTCACTCACTCATTGCTGTGGAGGCGGAACTGACTCATAGCTGACCTTCCAACAGGTTTTCAGAGGCTGAAAATCACATGGGAGGAGGGAAGGTTGACCTATTTCTCGCACAGAGAAACTGGTGGATTCAAACTGCCTGCTTTTGGGTCCACACAATTTCCTAACCTCTAGGTCACCTCAAATAAAGCAACTCAACTTGTTGCCCTCAAGTTGGAATCAACCTTTACCAGACCTGTCAGAGGGTTTTCAGAGCCTATAAATCCTATGAGAAAAGACTGTTCAAACAGTGTGTTTTGGGGTTGGCAGTGCAACTCCCTAACCACTGTGCCACCAAGAGCTCAAAAAGTCAGCCAGTGAAACTGTATGGATCCTAACAGTCCCATCCACAGCTGATCCCAAGAATAGCGTAGGACTACATAGTCCCATTGTGCATGGGGTCACCATAAGTAGAGGATCAAATTCAACAGCAGCCAACAACAGACTCTGTGTAAGTGCTATTATCATTACTAGGTTCTTTCAACAGAAAGATCAGAGAGGCACAGGGACTTGCCAAGTACACACAGCTCACAGGAAGCAGTCTGGGTTCAAAGCCAGGACCACCTGTCATTTTCCCCTACACTGTGAAGCTCCCAGATTTCCAATCCTGGTCAGATGTTTCTTGGACTAGGGATGCCCTGGAGCAAGTGCCTGTGTCTGTTGGCAGCTACGGCATGGACATCCCTGGACCTTTCCCAACCCTGGCATTTCCTGGGTTACCGCGCAGGGGGTGACTTCCTCCTCTAGAGTCCTGGTGGGAGAAGAAAGGTGAGGTCATTTCCATTTTACAGAGGAGAAGCCAGGCTCCTTCACAGAGGAGCTTGTCCAGGGCTCCACGGTCTGAGGGTGGCTACTCTGTGGACCCTGGCAGGGCTACAGCTGTGGAGGCCTGGACACTCCCTCTTGGCATTTCTTTTGTCCCAGAAACAGAGGTGTCCAGGCTGGAGGCTGACCTCATTAATAACATCTGCAGAGCAGACGCTGGTGCCAATCTGGACCCACGACATGGCCTGGTGATGTCAGCCCACAGACTGACTCCTTGACATGGCAGCCCAGCCCCCACTGTGGCTGGCCAATCCCAGACAGGCCACCAACCTGGGCTGGGTCCCTAGCCACCCTGTTCCAGTCCCAGACCTGACCCTTCCCCACTTCACCCCACTCAGAGATCACTTTGTTAGTGCTACATGAGGGCGGGCACCCCATACCCCCTCTGCCTTGAGCTGAGACCCTGCCTGTTTTCTCAGTGGAAAAACGCTACCATTTCTTTCCAGGGCCTGAAGCCTGAGCGGGTGACTCTGGGATGATTCACGAGGCAGGGGTGGGATTTTCCACTCCACGCTGCAAACAACGGGGCTTCTGAGAGGTCCCAGAGCTGAGGGGGAGGGCTGCGGGCCTGTCTGGGGGAGGGTGGAGGGAGGCCAGGCCCCAGGACTCATGCAAACTGCAATAGCCAAACAGCCCCTGAGGGCTTCACCTAAAGGTCCCAGCCTCGGACAGTAAGGCCTAGGGACACTCCATCCCAAGGAACAAGTCACCCTTGTGTCCAGCTGCAATAGCCCATCTGCCAAGCCTTGCACAAAGAACTAAGTCCTGGCTGGCAAGATCCCTGGCACTGAGACCAGAGGCCTGTCCTGAGTGGGCTGCTAACTACCGTGGGACCCTAAGCAGTGAATGGCCTTTTGATCTCCATCCAGGCTTTGCTCTCTGGCTATAGCCTGGGGTCTCAAAAGGCCTCCCATCTCTGACCATCTAACCGATGATTATACCCCAAAATAGCCCATGGGAGGTGGAGGGGGCAGAAGAACTGAGCTGTCTTTTTTGACCTTCCTAAGGACAGGGCCTCTCTGGGTATGGCCTCATTTGAGTTACTTCACTGCTCTGGGTCCCTCAGCTTCTCCAGCTGTAACATGGACATGTAGTACCCATCTTCAGAGAGAATATGTGTGTAATTGGGAGCTCCGTTAACCCAAACCTGGAACTTCTCTGCTGGTTCAAATCTACGATGTGACATAAGAGAAAGATGGGAAATCCCCTCCTGAGCGATTTACAGATTCTGAAAACTTGCGGGAGGGTCAGCTGTGACCACGTCTGATTTGACAGCAACGAGTGTGAGTACTGGTTAGTCTCTATCTGTTCTCTGATCCATGCTGGGCCCTGAAAAGCTGCCCCCTGAGCCTGCATCCTGGGCTCTCTCTCACCCCTGGCTTCTGGTTGACCAACAGGAGGCCCAGCAAGTCTGGAGGATGAAGATGGAAGGTGACAGAAGATGGGTATTAAGCCACCTCTCCCTTTCTGTCTTGCTATACTATGGTGGGGTCAAGCTCTTCTGTGACCTTAGAGCCTGCTGGGAGACCATCCTCCAGGGTTTAACTCTCACTGGACTCTGGTAGCACCTTCCCTCCACTTGGCCATCAGGTCCGAGAGTGGTAACATTTTTCAGTGGTTTCTAGATCCCCATGTGTTTCACTGGTCTCTGCTGGTTCCTTAGAGGCTGTCCGCCAATAAAACCTATAGTTTGTCCCTGTTCCACGTCTAGACCCATGTCAGTCATAGGACCTTGGCTTCACAGGACTAGTTACTCTCAGAGCTCAACTCTGAGACTGTCTGCCCCTCCTGCCTCCCTCAGTGCAAGACTGTTCCTGCCTCAATATCACCCATCAGCATAATCCCAGTCACAAAGAGCCACTAGGATTCATGTTCTCGCACTGAGGGCTTTGCATCCCTCATCTTGATAAATCCATCCAATAACCCTATCGAAAGGTAGGTGTTACTACATTCTTATTTTACAGAAACAGCCTCAGAGAAGTTAGATGACTTTCCCCAGGTCACACAGCACAAGGCATCAAGAAGGCACTCAACAGACATTTGTTGAAAGAGTGTATGGATGGATGGATGGAAGGATGGATAAGGGAGTGGTTCAAACCGAGGTCATTCCAACATGAAGTCTGTGTGCTTTCCACTCTCCAAGGCCTCCCTACCATGCTGGCAAGCGAGTTCTGTGTAACCTCAAGGAGCCTGGCCTGCAAGTCAGGACAAATTGGGTTTTGTAAGGACCCATTCATTCCCAGATAGTCACAGCGCATCTGCTGTGGGCCAGGCCCTCAGCTGGGTCTCCCTGAGGTGACTCTCACAGCAAACACGCTGCAAATGCCAGCAGCCTGATCCTGAATGAATAAGGCCTTGACTCGCCTCCTCTGGGCGTGGGGCTTCTGTGTAGCTTCTGTGCAGCTTCTGTGAGCCACGGCCTCCCCGCCCCAGCACACCCAGGGCCAAGCTCAGCTTTTCCATGCTCCCCCCTCACGCCTGGGGCTCCCACGGAGCCTCCTCACTCAAAGGTTACAATGCTGGCCAGCCTCAGCCCCACATGGTACCTCAGCCTCTCCAGGCCCTCAAGAACCTCACAGAACAGGTATCTAGGCACAGACTGGGCTGCTGTACCCCCTCAGACAGAGAGATCCCTACAGAAATGTATAAGGAGAAAGCTCATTCAATTAGCAGACAGGGAAAATGAACCCCAAGGAAATGAAAGAACTTCCCTAAAGTCACTCAGCAAACCCAAGGTGGCCTTGGAGGTCACCTAAATTCTCTCCTGCAGCTTTAAATGCAAATTCTCATTTCTGTTCTCTGAAGAAGGGTAATTGGAGTGATTATTGTTATATTCAACAGAATCTAAGGTTCAGAGTGGGGCAAGGTCACCGAGCTGGTGAGCATGAGCAGTGAGTTGGGATTTGAGCCAGGTCTGCATGTCCCAGGCCCTGTGTCCACCACCTGCTCTGCTGAACTGAAATAGTGAATGTAAATGCTGGCCCTGGACACGAGAGGACAGGGAGAACTGTTCAGGTCACTCTGCTCAAAAGTGCCACTTCAACTAGACACTGGGATCTGAGGAAAACAAATGATGGATTTGCCACACTCTGAACTGGATAAAGCTTCTAGAAGATTCTTGGTTCCTACTGGAGTGAGTGAGGCTAGGATCCTGTCTAGGGGAGGATGGAGCTGCAATGGCATAGGGCAGGAGGCCAGCAGTGACACAAGCAGGAGGAACCTTGGCCCTTTCCTGAAAGACTGAACCTTGGAGCTACGCTTCAGCTCCTGCAAAGCCATGCTAGGTGCCCTTGGTCACCGCATCATGTCGTTCCATCATATTATTATTATTTATTATTATATTACTATTAATTGACACTCTCATTGTGGAGTGGGATTATCATACACACCTGACCCTCTACCACCAGTTCTCATGAGGTCTTAAAGAGTGACTATCACATGGGGCAATACTTCATAAATGTGTCAGAACGAACCTTTCACTCGTGAACCATGGAGCCCTTTCTTTAAGGCCACGGACAGGCCCTGGCTCATCTCTGCAGCCCTTCTCAGGTTTCAGAGTGGATACTCAGAGTTGGGATAGTGTCTGTTTTGAGGCCTGGAGCTGGGATGTAAACTAAGACTTCCCACTGTATACTGTGTGACCCGGGCAAGTCCTGGCCCTCTCTGGGCAGATTTTGCAATGTCCTGACCAGCCCAGTGACGGAGATTGAACAGAATGATGCTGAGGGCATGGACCGGTCACCTCTCGGTACCTTTCCTGGTGATGGGGGATGCCCAGGGAGGTAATCTGGGAGAAGGTCTCCCTTCCTCTGATCCGGAGCAGCAGTCAGGGAGAAGGCATGCAGTTCAGGCACACACAGGCAGAGTCTACACCCTAAATCGACACTCGGGCTCCTGATCTGCTTGCCTGGACAGCCCTCCTCTCTCCTTGGGGCACAGGGCTGGTCTCTGCCCCTCTGCTGGTGTGCGCTATGGGGTTGGGGTTGAGACTCACCGTTATCACTCTATTGAGACAATTTATCTCCATCTCATAGGCCGGAGAGGCCGGAGCACACAGCTGGGGGAGCTGAGCGCCAAGGCCCAAAGGTAAAGCTAACGGGGAGGAGGTGCAGCGTGTTGGGGGAAAAGCTTCTTCCATCTTCCTCAGCAAAGCACTTGTTCCCAACTCCACTGCCAATTTCAGAACATGGGACTGAAGCGAACACTGACATAATTGCAAAGCAATGCACACAATTTCCATAAGCTATACAATATGGTTATAATAAAAAGTAGACTTTCGGTCCCCTTGGAGACAGGCTGAATAAATATTATTCTTAATGATTATTAAAACTAATTAAGTGTGTTTGGAAGGCCCAGAAATTCCCTGCACCCACCACTGTCCTCACTTTGCAGGGAGCCTAAAGCTCAAACGCTGACCGTGGTGGATGTCAGGCCTGGCCCCCTCAGAGGGAGAGGAGGCACTGGTGGTGGAGTGGTCACCCCCAGGGGGGAGGAGATCAGAGCAAGGACCAGGTTTTCTGGGAACTCTATCCCACCATTCCCCATGCGGCAGAATTGGCATCCAGATGTGGGAAGGTCGTTGCCCCTGGAGACAGTCTCAGGAAAGACAGAGGCATCAGTCTTGGAGCCTTTCCTGCTCCCAGGAACAGGGAGTGTTCTTGCTCTCTCCCTTCCTGTACTGTTCACATTGACCTTTCCCTGCCCAAAGGCAGGTAACAGGGCTGAGAGAGACACAGGGAAGGCGAAGGGGGCCATGAGCGAATGGGAACAGGCAATCATCGTTGAAAGGCCAGCCAGGCTAGGTCACGATCTCCCTTCACTTTGTAACAGAACCTGATCTCGTTTAAGAAATCTCTCACATGTTTTAAATGTTAGTAACTGATGGATTTAAGGCAGAAGAAAAAAACTCTGCTGCTTGTGCCAAACCAAACATACCCAGGGCTGCCTATGAGTGAGTGCCCTGCATCTAGAACTCCCAGGCAGAGGGGGCTCCGCTCCCCAAGGCACCAGGAGAGCCCGGCTTTGGTGGCTGCTCGCTCACCACGTGACCAGGGCAGGGCAGGTCATGGTCTTCATTAAGCCACTCGACCTTTGCAGCTAAGTTTATCCCAAGGGTGCTCTTCACCCGGTGGTAGCCCAGGTCTGGGCTCACTCTGCCGAGTCAATTCTGACTGAGAGCAATCCTACAGAATAGAGTAAAACTGCCTGTGGGATTTCTGAGGCTTATCCTTACCAGAGGGAGCTCTGGTGGCCTCGTGTGTAAGGAGCTGCACCGCCAACCAAAAGGCCTGTGGTTTGAATCCATCGCCTACTCCATGGGAAAAAAGATGGATAATCCCCTGCTGGGTGATTTACAGACTCTAAAAACCCACTGAAGGGTCAGCTATGAGTTATTTCCCCCTTGACAGCACCTAACAACATCCTTATAGAAGATTTCATCTTTGTCTCTTGAGCGGTTGGCGGGTTCAAACCGCCAATACACCAGGACTCCTGCATCCCCCACCCCAACTCTAAGAAAACACACACGTTGGGAGCAGTGTGCGTGACAGAGATGGTAGAGACAGTGGGAGACCCATGTTTGAGCTCCCTGTCCCGAGGGGCTTCTGCCTGTCCTTCCCTGGAACAGCTTGAGCACCCACTCGCACTGCAAGCAGCATGCAGACCCCGTCTCATCTTACCGGCAAACCACAGTCTCCCTTGGGCCCTGGAGGTCCCATCAGCAGGGGGAAAGGCGTTGGCCCCACCAGATGGAAGTAAGAGTAGCTGCTGCTTGTGGGCCGAGGGCTGGAGGACAGGAACCTCGCTGGGGCTGGGCTGGTTTGCTGACTGTGCTGTCTGAAGCTGGGCTGGGTTGTCAGGCTGTTCAAAGGCGCTGCCTTCCCAGGTCTGAGGGCAGCAGGCTTCTGGGGGCTGCTCTGGGGTCCAGTTTTCTTTGTGCCTTCTGATCCAGTGGGCTTCTTGATTCTTGTGGGTGTTGAAGCAGGAGTGAGGGTAGGTGGTGCTGTTCCGGGAGCTCTGGTGCCTGAGATGGTAGGCACCACAGTGGTTGGTGGCCGAGGGGTCCTGGTCAAGCCAGGACTGGGAGCCAGAGACGGTGGCAATACGGTGGAATGGGGTGCTTTCTGTGTGATAGTGTGAGCGGGAGCCGGCTTACTGGCGTGACTCAGCTTGGCCTTGGTCTGAGCCACCGGGGAAAGGAGTTTTTTGGAGGAAACAACAACAGGCGGTAGGGGCCTGGAGCTAGGAGGCAGAGGTGGGGGTGTGCCAGGGCTCCTCCGGGATGTTCTCACTGTGGGATGGACTTTAGCAGGAACACGGTGGGAAGTGGCTAACGCTGAATGTTTCTGGGCAGATGGGGCTGACCCTGGGCGGGAACGTGGAGCTGTCTTCTGGGTGGAGAGTGGGCTTTTGACAGGAACAACTGAAGTTGAAGGAGTAGAAGACACAGCTGAGAGACTTTTGGGGTTTTTGGTGGCTGTGTTCTTCCATGACGGCTGGTTAGGTGAGGCTGCAGGGCGAGGAGTTCTAGGGATGCTGGCCAAGGAGGTGAGGGGCACAGGAGGAAGTGCCAGACTGGACAATCGCTTTGCAGAGGGCAGTGGGGTCCGGGCTGGGGCCCCGGCCGTTACATGCTGGGAAGGGATTGTGGTGCTAGTCCTCAGGGGCTTGGTGGGCATGGCTGGCCCCACGGTCACCTTGTTTGCTGGCCATGACCCCAGAGTTGGGGTGACAGTGGTCAGGTTCTTCAGACCCAACATTGGGAGGTCAGTCCGGAAGAGGGAGCCAGAGTCCCGGAGGAAGACAGGTCCCAGCTGGGGCCGGTACACGTAAGCCTGTCCACACGGCTTCCGCAGATGAGTGCAATAATTATGGGAAACCTGCGTCACAGGGTAGATACTGAACTGGCACAGGGCGCCCTCAAACTGGACCGCGTGTGGACTCATCTTCCCGAAGAGGAAGGAGCCCTCAGGGTCCAGCCCTGGGTCCCTGCTGAAAGGCAGTGGGGCAGGCACTCGGTGCTGCCCACAAGCCGTCACCAGGGTGACTGTGCCACCACGGAGCTCCAGGGCCAGGTGGTGCCAGCGCCCATCGTGCACGTCAAGGTCAAAGGCCACGGAGCGCCGGGGCCCCAGGTGGACAACCGTCTTGCCCGGGAGGAACTGCAGGCCCAGCTGCAGCTTGTGCTTCCGGCTGCGCACAGCGAAGAGGAAAGCATGGTTCACTCGGTGGGAGCAGAGGCTTAGCACCAGAGCCAGTTCTGTGCCCAGGGCGGCAGGAATGATGGAGGTCGTGGGCGCCTGGAGCCGAGCCTGTTGTGTGAAGATGAACCCCAACTGGAAGGGAATGACTCCCAGGGGAGCAGGCCTCCTCCCGCCTGCCACCTTTGTCCCACTGAGGCCCAGCCGTTGGAGGACGTCCACATCTGGGGAAGGATAGAAAAGGAGAGGGCTTATCAAGGTCTGCACCAGCCCAGACCACCCCATACCCTCCAGGTGCACAGACAGCAAAGGCAGCTCACCTACAGCTCCCTAGTTCGGTAGACATTAAAAAGAATGCTGCTTCACAACACGAAGATGGTGAGGCTGGAGCCAGACAGTGTGAACTTTAACGTCCTCTCTGGTTCCATGATCTTGCATAACATCATTAAAATCAGACTGAGAGCCAAACAAACATCCGGGGTTCACCACTGATTAGCCCTATGACTTTAATGCCTCAGTTTTCCCATCTATTAAATGGAACAATAACAGCGCCAACCACAGGAAGTTATTATGATGAATAAGGACAAATACAGATGAGACCACTGCTATAAAAGGTAGAGAAAGGTGGCAAGAAGCTGCACTGCAATCTTGAAGGCACACAGTTCGAGGCCACCAACTGCTCCACAGGAGAAAGATGGGCAATCTCCTCTCATGTGATTAATTGCCTCTGAAAACCCCCTGGAGGGTCAACTATGGGTCAGTTCCAACTCTATGGTACACAACAACAACATAGTTACCAGGGAGGGGAAGAGGGACTAAAAGATACACTGACAAACAACAAACACTGGGGCGATGAGTGAAAGGAAGACTAATGTGGAATGAATGGAAATCAGGCACTGGGTGAACTTCAAGTGGTGCTGTGGAATTGAATGTGCATGAATGATTGGGAGGGGGAACCACAAACCAACAACAGTGCTTCGTAAACTCACACAAATCACAATTCAAAAATACGTGCTGGCACAATATAAACATTTTAAAATAAAACCTACTTGTCTGTCACTTTGTCATATTGTGGTGACTTGAATATTGCTGTGATGTTGCATGCTATCGAGTTATAATGGACCAATAGTTGATCCAGGAAGTTATTCCACTGTTATTTCAAATATCAACAGAGTCACCCATGGTGAACAGGTTTCAGTGAAGCTTCCAGACTAAGACAGACTGGGAAGGGCCCGCGATTTAAACCCAAGAAGTAGCTGGTGAAAACTCTGTGGATACCACAGACAACTGTCAAGTATAGTGGGGAAAGAGGAGTCCTTCAACTGGACGACACTCAAACGACACAGCAGCCACAGCTGGGCTCAGGCACAGCGATGGTGGTGACGATGGCACAGGGAGTTGTGTTCTATTCATGAGATTGTCATGAGTCATAGTCGACTTGATGGCAGCAAATAATACTAAAAATAGTGATAAACACATGTGAGGAGTTTTTCTAGGCTGCTCGGCCTATGAGGTTTCCTTTCTCCCTTCCCACAGTGGGGAAGCAGAACACCAGTTTTGGAGCAGTTACTGGAGCTCTATTAGGGAACCCAGGTAGCCAGACTGAGTCCACTGCCTCTCCAGGAATCCACCCAGTCCCCTAGGCACCCCTGAAGGCTCTGGAGCAGGAGCTGGCTGGGGATGCTCCTACTTCCTGACAGAGATGACACTTCCCATGGTTCCTCATCCCTGTGGGTCTGAGCAGAGGCAGCACATGTAATCAAGGAAGCCCCACAACCTCTGTCCTCTGGCGTGGTGTTTGGACATCTGACCATGGTCTGGCCAGGTCACATCCGCCCAGTAATTATGCTAGTGGTGCTTACCAGAGCACCAGGAGGCCTTCCAGGGTGTTTATGCAAAGGCTTGCTGACCTTGCCTTTCACCGGGTCACTAGAGCTCCTTGACTTGGCTGAGCTGCCAGTGTCTACAAAACCCAGCTCACAAACTCCATCTCAGCAGAGAGAGGCCATCTGCAGAACCAGGGACTGGGTCATGTCTTCAGGCTCCCTTTCCTGAGGGCAGCAACTGAGCCCTGTGTTGCCTGTGCTCTCCCTTACCACCAGGGCCAAGGGATGCACCGAGCGAGAGGTGCTTCAGGCTATGTGTAGTACTTGGAACTCAGCAGGCTCACAATCAGTGACTGCACCATGCATGGATGGATGGATGGATG